TAGCTACGTATTATACTGTACGGCATTTTCAACACTGTATCTAAAGCCGTGAATTTACCCTTTTCACTGACCATAAACCACTTACTTTCGCTCTAAGCTCCTCTTCAGACTATATGGGTCTGGACAACTGGACTCCATTTCGCAGTTTATTTCAGATATTCAACATATTTCTGGAGCGAACAATGTAGTTGCAGACGCCTTATCTCGCATAACTTCCTTGATCAGTTTCCAAGGAATCGACCTTCTTAAACTCGCCGAGATTCAAAAAGAAGACACTGATCTTCAGCACGAGTTATCGTCCACAACACTTAAACTACGCATCAAACAGATGGGAACAGGTAAGGAAACCTTACTTTGTGACACATCTATAGGTAGGGATCGCCCAATCGTGCCGAAACACTATCGACGCAATGTCTTCAACACATTGCACAAACTTTCGCATCCAGGTGTTCGTGCAACCATCAAGCTCATAGAAGAATGGTTTCGCTGACCTGGTATGAATAGCGACGTGGGGGAGTGGGCACGCTCCTGTGTAAGCTGCCAAAAATCTAAGGTTATCAGAAATAAAAAATGTCTTTTAGGCTCATTCAAAACCTTTTATGTCCGTTTCGACCATGTTCATCTGGATTTGGTAGGACCTTTACCAGATTCAAATGGATACTCTTATCTCTTAACCTGCGTAGACCGTTTCACTCGATGGCCAGAAGCAGTACCAATCAAGGACATCACTGCTGAAACAGTGGCTCTCATCTTCGTCGATCGATGGGTAGCAAACTTCGGCTGCCCTTCAACCATCACTACAGACCGCGGACGCCAGTTCGAGTTTGAACTTTTCCGTTGTCTGACTACACTTTTAGGAATCACTCGCTTTCGAACGACCGCCTACAACCTACAAGCAAACGGGTTGGTAGAATGTTTTCACCGACGACTAAAAGCTTCACTATTAGCTGCAAACGTTTCACAGTGGACTGACGCTCTTCCCCTCGTCTTACTAAGTATCCGCAATGCAGTGAAAGCTGACATTGGATACACTGCGGCTCAACTCGTTTATGGAACAACACTTCGACTTCCAGGAGAATTCGTGGATCCTTCATCTTCTTCAATGAACATGGATCTAACCTCCTACACGAGCAGGCTAACAAACGCAATGCGTTCAGTTAAACCTGTTTCTACTCGGCCTCAATCAACTGATGTTTTCGTTCAACCTGACTCACGATATAATACACACGTTTTCGTTCGTCGAGACTCGCATCGATGACCTCCCGAATCAGCATACGAAGGACCCTTCAAATTCTTCGACGTGAATCTAAGTACTATATAGTCGATAATAACGGAACCAACGATAGCATCAGCATCGATCGCTTAAAAGCGGCGTATTTAGAAGGAAATCCTATCTACGTGGATTTTCCTCCGGTACAATCGAACGACACGACTCCGACACTTATAATACCTCATCCGACAACCAACACACACGATGATACTTCGACAGTATCCGAAAATAAACTTAAAACGACGCGTTCTGGAAGAAGGGTGAGATTTCCAGAACATTTAAACAACTAGAGCACGTAAGACACCAGTTAATATTTTGCTTCATCTCGATTTTCCACAGCATTATATATAATATTTAAGAAAATCCATTTTTATATGCTTATATTCATATATGTTTATTATTTTGCCAATATGTATATTAAAAATGTATTTTAAAAAATAACAAAAAACATTATGTAAAAATCGCTTTTACGCTATTTTCCTTATATCGCCCATTTTGTGTCTTAATGCGCGTACGAATTTATCTGGACATGCACTAACATTTTCTTTTTTTCCTTTCCAGGACAGCTGGAAAAGACGATAGAAAGAACGATGAGGTTTACGAGGAACCAAAATTTTCATTGTAAATTTTTTCACTATATTGCATTTCATGGTCCCTTATAGTAAGGAAAGACGATCAGACGCTTCTAAACCTAGTAAGCTATCGGAAGAGTGTTTACCAACGACAATACTCGTTGGGTTTAAACTTCTGGCTGGCCAGGTTTTAGTGTCATCAGTGCCCCACTAGGAGGATGAGTGGTCTGTAGCGTTAAGTAAATACCTAAAATGGATAGCTCTGTAAGTTTTCGACATTGGATGTTGACCACATTTGATTTAATGGACTCACCTAGCTGAAGGCGCTCAGTCATGCTTCCGCACCAGATCACGAGTGGGAACGCCGTGCTCAACATCTACTGCAATCGATAGCCAGACTAGATCAGACGATTCTCGATATATTGATAGTCATCAAGTATATCTTCCGATCTCCTCGATTCTGTCTTTTGATTTCTCTTGGTGGGTACGAGTTATATTAGATGTTACTCGATAAAGCGTTGTCAAACTCCGAATGCTTGTTGCATATTCAAACTCTATGTCTTAAGTCTGCTAAATAAGCTTGATATGTGCAAATCCATGTGACCTGATGATACATATATTGGACTATCAAACGAATTAGCAAATTTTTTCACGAATACCTAAGCATAAATATTAGTCTATCTGTAACGCAGAGAAATACTGATATGTAAGCCAAGCCAGCGTGGTCGTTGAGATTTTAGAAAACATCATTCGGAAGGTGTCGTTCAAGAATATACTAAAACAATTAATTTTCATAAAACCAGACTGGCAAAAAATACAGAGAAAAAAGTTAAAGGTATATTACTTTTTGCAATAATATACCTAAAAAATAAGTGCCCAATCAGATATACACATTCAAATATGTCGTTGTTTTTCATTTACTTCAGTATGATAGTCATGTAGTTTTTTTGCAGCTGTAGTTCACATATATTAAAATTAATTAGAGAACTAGTGTTTGCAAGGTAAGTTGTGAATAAACTTCTGACTCCAACTAAACCATACAAGAGTGATATACTAATGCAAATTAGTAACCCGAGTGATTTAACAGTAAATTACTTACCTATTACAACCACAAGCTGTTGACTTGAATATCTTAACAGAACGGATATACAAAATGTCTGCAAAAAATAATGCAAAGGGATGGATAAATATACAACTTAAAAAAGAAAAGTTACAAATTATAATGAAGAAATTCGCAGATGAAATATTTGTCTTCATAATGCAATTGATGCACCAGCTACCAGTTAGTTTTATACTGAGACGAAATAGGAAAGTGTAAATGTCACATGTGGCACAAAGAAACCTGAATAAAACCTCGCATTTTATGAAACAGTTCATGAAATCAAATAATCAGGTACCTAAAACCGCCTAGACAGGACAGAACACTTAACAAAAGCGAGATGCTGAATGGTTTGGAAATAAAATTATGCTGTTGGGGATACTCAATATCCCCCAAAACAAACTACGTGACTGGAAGTTCATCTGTTGACTGGCTGTCATACAAGTTAGCTGATATCGGAATTAGAGGCAACTAATTTATGTAGATAAAGAACTGCCTAGTGGGACGCCAGCATCGAGTACGAATGAACTCAAAGTTCTCTAGCTGGGGAACTGCACTTAACAGGGTATCCCAGGGTACAGTGCTGTTTATCCTGTGTGTAAATGACCTTCCCAGTCTCCTATCATCATTCGTTTCGTTATATACTGACGACATGAAGAGCGATAAAAGGTAAAGGTAATAGTTTGGAGTTTCAAAACGACCTGGAGAAATGATCTGAATGGTATAGAATTTGGCATTTCCTGATAAGTGCTTCCAAGTGAATTTTGATGTATATCGGTCAACATGGTACAGATACATACACAGTGAATAACACTGAACTATCTGTTGTCCAGACACACAATGACTTAGGAGTCATTGTTAGCCAGGACTTGGAAACTACGGCACACTGCCGGGCGCTAGCTGTCAAATATTTTAGAACCCTATGGTCAATACGTAGAGCGTTTCGCCATGTCGATGCTAAAACTCTTTGGACTTTATATACAGTATTCGTTCGTACTAACCTGGAGTACTGCGTACAAGCAGCTATTCACTGCCTAAAAAGAGATGGCGAACCATTGAAAAAAATCCGAAGGATCGCAAATAAGCTGATTCTGGGGTTAGCAAGGTTCCCACATGGTGCTTGACTGGCTGAACCAAACTTATTTTCATTGTCATATAGAAGAACCAGAGGTGACGTGATCGCAGTTTTTTAACTGCTTAGTGATAAATTTGCATCTGATATGCCCTCATATTTCTTATCTTCCAAATCAGAGACTTTATGAGGATACTCTAGAAATGTTCACGAGTCCAGTACAAATTACTTGTCAGCTGACTATTGACTCTCCCATAGAATTATCAAAGAATGGAATTCATTAATTTAACACGTGATTGGAGCTTCATCTGTCGACGCTTTCGAAAGAAAGTCGATCCAAATAAGAGACCACCATTGCCATGACTAAGACAAGCCACCTAGCCTCTTATCCTTTCAAAACTAAAGCTGAAACTGAACTGAATGAACCAGTGCTATCGTGTGATAAGACTACAGCTTATTGGACACTTGCTAAGAACTGCTTACGTACCGAAATAACAAAAAATGGGTTCAAAGAAATCAACTGGTGTATAAGTTCGTAACAAAGATTTAATTTTTTTGGATTAGGGGATCCTTGTGAATGGATCGCGCTTCTTTGAAGTGCTCCGCTTCTGGTCGTTGACTGTGGTACTTTACACTTTTGTACCTTAGTTCTGCATTCATATTTATTCCCAAATAGATGCTTCTAAGGTTTTAGGTCTTAGCTCACGCATTCATTATTTGTCCACTCACACTCAAGATACAAGTATAATGCATTTGGATCCAATTGCATTGTGAACTGGAGCTCACATATCCATATGGAAGTGGGTGGCCTTCTGACAAGCAAACCGTATATGTGTCTATACGACTCATTCTCCTATATTCATTGCTGGAGAGCTGAGTTATATAATCCCTCATATTATTGTAACTCCACGGCATTGATTGGCTTGTTTTGGTGATAATATAGTTGCTGGAAATTAGAAATTCACTGTCTCAGTGGATCATGTAGGAATGTACAAACTTGATTCCCATTCGCAAGACAATTCCTATACTTTTGGAGACTATGATTTACCTCGCAATCGACAACAAAGGTATAATTGTATTCATCCTTTAACTTCTCGTAAGCCTCGAAAACGACATCATTATATTCGTTCCACTCCCCAGTATTATCCACTATTTAATGTTTTTGTAGTTTTCCCCTACTATCATTATTTTCCCTCTTAAACCTTACTTATTGATTATATATATCTCGCTGTGATGATGTAAAGTGTCGCAACTTAATTTTAGTTCTTTTACGCTGTGTTTCACATTGTATTACTTCTGTCGGCACTAAGGAAAGTAACTTCAATCGTTTAGGATATCAGTATTCACTCAGCCAGGAAGTTATAGATGATGTACCAATCGTAGTGCCATATCTCTTATCAACACAGTAAGTGGGGACTAACAAGACTACAAACTAAGCGTGAAAGATACGATCCAAATGAAATCAAAGCATGGGAAGTACAATGTGACACCCTAGTCTCTTTAATGAACATTAACAGTTGTCCGCTGTTTGTGTCAGACTAGGTGTTTAGCTAGTTAAATCATAGATACACATTGGTCCCACTTCCACTCGTTTTGTTGCAATGTCCTTAAATTTAGTAATGTGTGGCAGTACACGTCATCGCATGAGAACAATCATGATCCAGAAATGTGCTCCGGTAATTGAAACAGTTTTTTGTTAAACGTTTCTGACACTTAGTGGTTGTGATATCTGCCTATAGTTGAGTTCTGTAGACATTTAAGTTAATAACTTCGTCAATATATTCATTTGCCTTTCCATAGCTTCTGATTCGTTCATAAACAAGCTAGCACTGCTGAATAATATGGCCTCTAGATAAGTATATATAAAATGCCGCACCCACATAAAACGACATAGATTCATAGCTTTCTCAATGTTTAATTAAAACCCCACACCTAACGTCAATATTATTAACTCTGTGATTCCATCATACTTCATGAATAGTCCGAATATCCTTACAATCAACCACTTTCAAAGTACAAATATATCCTAGCTCAAAACCTATGTTCATCGGTAGTGGAACAACAAATACCAGGTTTAAGACTGTATATTATCACTCTAACAAACAAAAAAGTCTCCCTCAAATTTGGCTCTAGTTGGCTAAAGCTAAACAAACGTCATCTTGAGCTGTTACTTCACTTTTTAGTTTGAGAAGTGAGATTTTCCCCAAAGTGTCCATCGTTTTGTAATTTGATTTTTTACCGAATTCATAAATCACTTCATTTGATAATGTCTGTTCCCACTATGATTTGTCATTTATCTGCCATACTAACATGGTTTTGTAGGCTGAATTGTAGTATCCAATCAAATCAAATTTATTCTGCTCTTATGGTTATTCTCAATGGATTCAGCAGGTCTGTAAACCAACTACCTCGCATTTCTCTGAGAACTAATGTCCTAAATACGCGTGCTCACTTATTTGAAGTATTCTTTCGACGAGTTGCACTTGGTTACATTCGTGTGTTTCCTTTGACTGCTCGTCGCATCATCGAATTCGGGTTTCTGGTACAGGTAACAAAATTTTAACTGCATAAATTACTATAACATTATGGGACCCAAAATCCATTTATAAACCTTAGATCGAGCACTTAAAGGTCAAACCTGTGATAGGTGGATCTAGGCTGAAATATGTAATGCGATTGCCTGAATTCTGACAATCATACCAACTAATCAGAGGTGTATATTCTTGTACAACTGGACACAAAAACACGTGTGAGCTACACATATAAAGAGATATTATTGTTAAAAAATCAAGTAAGAGTAGTACAATCAAATTTGGCTAGTTAGTCAGTCAGTCACAATGTAAAACTTGTACTTATGTACATCAGTTCAAGTTGCCATACCCCATCGGCACAGAGAGATGAAGTTGTCAGGCCAAATCTCAGAGTTGTAGAGGTAGTAACAGTGTGAATGGTGACTGCAAAGAGTAGGTATCGAAAATAAAGTTCAAGAAAACATAAATTAGTTTGATAATTACAGAAAAGAGAAATTATGAGGGATTCAGAAGCTCAGAATTTGGGGGAAGACAAATGGCTCAGTCCAGTCGTCGATGTCTTCATGAATTGGTGCGGTGTTTTTGGTTTGTCCGTCCCTAGCTTTCCTCCAGTGTACTCTCACACCGTATAAAATCGCCCGTCGAGGTAGGTTGTGGTTGTGCATACGTGACACGTCCCAACAAGTGAGTCTCCTGGTAGAAGATCAACTGAAAAGTCAGACAATGAGCGCTGTCTCTAAAAGCATGCCTATAACTAATTTAAATACAAATGGAGAAAGCGCACAATCCTGACGACTGTCACTCGAAGTAATTAATTCCAATGACCGAAAACATTAGTTTCGCTCTCCAACTAATTCATTTTGAGCCACTCGATATAACACAACACGATACATTCCAAAGGCAAATGCCAGAACAAAGATACAAGTCTATAAACACGATTATTCACGCGTGTTACGCAGAAAACTGGCAAATGGCGTCGTTTATTAGTGCTGACTAATTGAAAATGGATTAGTCAGGATGTTTGATCCTTCTTGCATCGAAATCGCAAGAGGAGTCCATACTTTTTACACAAATAGAAGTGATTAAGCATGTGCAGTAAGATCGCGTTTATTATTTGATGTAAATTTAAACCGGAAAAACTGATTTTTGGATTGCTGTCTCTTTTAGCATTAATTGTGTTTCTCAACATATAATCTATTATAGTTGACCCTTACATTGTAGGTTGCAGAGTCAGATTAATTTGATTTTATTGGTTAGGTCGAATAATAGTTTAGACAATCAGCTATACTATGGGAAGAATTCTTCAGTCTATCACAACATTGGGCCATTGTTTTAATGTTCTACATTTTAGCGAAAGCAAACAAAGAATTGTAAACAATTCGTTCGGTTATTACGGCAACATAAGTAGTGTACGAATTGTATGTACTCGTTTTGCTTGTCTTCAACTTGTTTTTATAAATTTGAATTAAAACGCAATACGTCCTGGGGGATTAAGAAGCAAACATAAATAAAAAAGACTCATTAGGATAACTTGTTAAGTTGAAGATAAGCATCTTAGTCTACATCTTGCTGTTTATACTTAAGGCGCTAATGTTTTGAACAATAAAATGGCAGATCTATACAGTATTACAAAAATGTCACTTCTAATTCTTCCTTATCTGATAATCTGCTTTGCGTTGTCACTATACTATGGATTAATATCAGTTCATTTCCTATAGGTTTCCATACCAAACGACCATCCTTCTGAAATACCTTAAGGAACTATATGTATGGACGTTGAAGTATTTATATAGATAGAAATCGTTATTTAGTAATCCTTAATTAATCAGTCACTGACTGACTGTTCAATAGATTTCGTAACCAGCAGTATTAGAAGTTAACGCTGCAGTTTCATAGTAAAATATATGGGACTGGAAATTCGTCTATTTCTGTAGTGTGCGTTCCACCAAATCAAAACATGGCATCAATTCATCAAGTCATCGATGATTGGATGTTAATAGATGCATAGACTACCTGGTTGGGATCCGCGTGATTATCGTAGCCAATGGTTGAATACTTTAGATGACATGACTCAAAACCGTTCGCAATGGTACAGGTGCACGTGTTTTTTCTTTTCCCCCAAATTCTGGGATTCTAAGTTCTTCATAACGTTTTTTTGTTTTTATTTTTCTAATTTATATTCCATTTTCGAGTCATAACTTAGGAGCCTAATCTCTCTTATTACCTCTGATATTGTTACTAACTCTACTATTCTGACATTTGGCTTGACAACTTCATCACTCTATGCTAATGGGGTATGGCAACTTAAACTGATGTACATAAGTACGGATTGTACATTGTGACTGACTGACAGTTCGTCATCTCTGGGTCATTTATGATATCAGTCTTGTTGTAAAACACCAGGTTTACAAAATGTCGGTGAGAGCAGCTCTGCTCTATGTCTATGAAGAACTGACTTATTAGAGGAGATATGTGGTGACTACATACATCTACTGGCAACACCATAATGATAATGCTCAATTATACTATAACTTAAGTAATAAAGAACAAATAACACATGTGCCAATAGATGCAAAGACTACCTGGTTGGGTTCCGCGTGATTATCGTTGCCAATGGTTGAATACTTTAGATGGCATGACTCAAAACCGCTTGCAATGGTACAGGTGGATGTGTTTTTTGTTTTCCACCAAATGGGAATAAAAATAGTCTATTTCTTTAGTGTGCACAATGCATTTCACCCCTACCCTTCGTTTAGCTAGGAATTAATTGAATAAGTATATCCAATGTAACTAAAGTGCTAACGTTTTTTATACATTTTAAATTGTATTGGCTTAATTATTTTTCAGGCTGTTTTCGTACTAGTTGTATTCATACATCTTCACGTAACATTTGTAAAATCTCCAGTAACGTGCTTGGATCATTTGCGTAGTGAATTTGAAAGCATAAAGTCTGGTTCAGGTGTATCTTTTACCTCCATAACTATGGATGCCAATTATTTGTCAAAAGGTAATGGATCAGATTCTTTTTTACGACGTTCATGGCCTAACTATGGTGTTTTACGTATTGAAGTCATCCGTTCTCCTGATCCGTTCTATTCTCTCGAAGACTCATATGCGAAAGAGTTTTACGGTACTGAAACTGATTATCGTTTTGAAGCCAAAAATGAAAAGACACCACAGGTTAACGAGTTGGATAAACATATTGCCTATATTCCCAAAAATTCAAAGTATTCACTAGCTTATTTTGCCGAGAATATCATCCCCGAACATCAGGACTTCTGGAATTCACTTTTATCTTTGCCATTCATTGCATATGGGTCGATCAAAGAAAATTTCAACCACTTTTTAAATTACTTATACGCTAGTAATCGAGAGCGAACATTCTCTTTTAAAGAGAATGAGGAAAATATGTCTCCATATAACGCAATTATAACCACCAGGAATAAACTCAGTCAGTTGTTGCCTGAAGTGAACCGGTTATTATTCGACTTCTTTGCTGGTATCGTTGATTTTATTTACGACATTCCTATTCGTATATATGCCTCGTCAGGTCCTGGTAAGTACATTTTTTTGTTTTATTTTATTTGACACAAACGATTCTTGCAGAAATAATTTAGGTACCCCACCAGATCTTAGAGACGACACCACTAAATTTAAAAGATCTTTCCTTTTTTAAGTGATTTAGTCTTAATAGTAGTTTTTTGTCTGGAAAAAATAACGTACTTCACACGAAACTCATGCAATGCTGATGTTAGAATGAGTTAATTCCTCACACACATTACTGTGCTTGGAATTTGACCACTCCAATTTCTGTCAGTAAGCACTTATGTGCTCACTACTTTGATCATAGTGCAGAATATCCCTCTACTTTGTTGTTCATCATCCAATCGGTCTACTCAGAACTCTGTATACTACATTTCTGACAACTAAGGAAAAAATGTTGAAATGTACAAGAAGTATATGAGTTAAGAAACGAAAGCAGACAAGAGTAATAAGAAACGAATGATTTAGATATTGAAGAGTGAATGGATTCTTGGTATCGTGATTGGGTTCAATTCCTATTAATAAAGATACCCTACTTAGCATACGCAGATGTTGCTGTGTGGGTCATAACCAACTAAATAAATAAAAATGGGCGGGGCGGATTTCACATTATAATGCACTGGTAAATATTTAAGTGGATTGCCCTCTAAAGCACTACGAGTTATCTAGTTTTCTGAATAAATTATTAACAAACAAGCACCACAGTGTAACAGACCTTTAGTTTTCGGTCCACAAAATGTCTTTGTATGACAAAACGTTCTAAAGTGTTGGTTGTACGACAGCAAATGTTAAGGTGCCCGGTTGTTCGACAGACTTTAAACAGCTCTGGTATTACGAAATAAAAAAATATTGTTAGCTAGCAACACATGTGGTAGCGTTTACGGATTCAGAAAAGGTTGAGGAGTCATTCAATGTACCTAAGATCCTAACGGAACGTAGACTGTTTTTTCAGAGTTAACTTGCTTACACTTTTTTTCCTTGATTTTCGCAGTATGATATCAGCAAATTATTTATACATAATTAATACCACACTTGTCAGGCCCTGTAATAATGGATTCTATAATGATGGATTCAATATTTTTGACTAATAGTAAAGTAAATTTTAGCTTGTATTCATAATTCTAAAAAAAACTAGATGTGACTACTATGGATAATGAGTTTTTAGATTTTTGGTTATAAACAGGAATCAAATTCTTGAATTAAATACGGTTCTGACAAGTACATAAAACGTAATGAAACGATTCGATTGAGTGGTAATTGTATGCGAGACCGAATTATTAACACAAACTATTTTATAAACTGAAATCAAAGCAAGATCAATAACTGTAAAGAGTAGGCTTTTTTCTCAAGTAAACTAACATAATTATGTATAAAACATTAAGCAGGAAAGTCAAAATGATTTCATATTCTAAGGAATCTCAGGATAAGAATTTTGTAGGTTACTCACTCAGCAATGAATAAAGACGTGCCCATAAGACACATTCTTGTCCAACAATATTGACATGATCGCGATAAAATAAATAAATGTGCAATTTGTTTGTATATGTAACTGTTTAATTGATTCGCTAAAAGCCTAAGTTCTTTCTTCACCAATTAAACTGGTTGGAATCACTAAACTAATTCATTCTCTCTTATCTGGTATAAGCACATAGTAGTTTGTTTATAATCCTATTACAGAAGCTATTGTGAGATGCAGTATTTTATAGGCTTTAAGACAAGTAACATGGAAATATCTGTCATGCTTTTTATTTCTACTAGTGTTTTCAAGATACCATGAATCCATCGTATCTCGTTACATTTCGGTTTTATTCGGTTCAGTTTATTCCCGAATATTTTAACATTTGTAGGTCAAATTCATCATAGATTGACCTTAGTTGGAATAACATTCAAAACCTGGGAACACTGGGCAACCATTTTATCTTAGTATGAGACCTTCCAGAAGTGCACATTCCGAACCCCGCTAAAGGTTCAACTCAGAACCACATCTTATCCATTTGACCAGCTTGTTGGCTTCCAATGATATGAGTTTCGAACTTTAATATTTAGTCAGATTTTGAATTAACTAAACTTATGAGCTTGTGTATGTACTTATGTAGAAAGCAACGCAATACAATAAACTCATTAAGTTCTACAAAACACTATCATTTTTACCTTCCCTAACAAATTTTTCCCGCCTAAATTTCGTAGCAGCCATACAATTTTCGGAAATTTTAATACTTTTACAGCACTAAACACAAATGAGAGCTACATAATTGAATACGCCTTGGAGTATGGCTTTCTTCGTCTCTCACCGCGGGCCCGAAATCGGCTTAACGTAACTGTAAAATTAATTGTTCTTGGTATGTTTAACTTTCCTGTAATCGTCTTATGTCCGTTTTATTGAGATACACTGAAAAAGTTAACATTCAATCAGTCACAACGTAAAACTTGTACTTATGTACATCAGTTCAAGTTGCCATACCCCATCGGCACAGAGAGATGAAGTTGTCAGGCCAAATCTCAGAGTTGTAGAGGTAGTAACAGTGTGAATGGTGACTGCAAAGAGTAGGTATCGAAAATAAAGTTCAAGAAAACATAAATTAGTTTGATAATTACAGAAAAGAGAAATTATGAGGGATTCAGAAGCTCAGAATTTGGGGGAAGACAAATGGCTCAGTCCAGTCGTCGATGTCTTCATGAATTGGTGCGGTGTTTTTGGTTTGTCCGTCCCTAGCTTTCCTCCAGTGTACTCTCACACCGTATAAAATCGCCCGTCGAGGTAGGTTGTGGTTGTGCATACGTGACAGGTCCCAACCGCTTGTTTAAGATTTACTATCTCACCAATCGACTCTCCATCCTTACCTAGTATCGTGTTTCCAATCCAAGCATCGCTTACTTGGTGATCTCAAAATACAAGCGGACTGCTTCGAAGACACCTGTGATCGAATACTAGTGGTCTACGAATATTCTCTATTATTAATGTTTATGTTCCATACACATAAAGTAGAACAGAGTGAACTGCTGCACAGTAAATTACTGGAAATTCTTTCCTCGCCTCGACAGACAATTCACATTCATTTTTATTTTGCTTTCTTTTATGTACGACGTCACTTATCTACTCTCTTTTATTCCCGCTCTATGTATCCTTATTTTTCGACTTATGCAGCAGCTCGCTTATGGTGGAAACTCGGTTCTGTCTAAACGTTCTCGAGTCACTGCCTGGTTGAAAATTGTATGTTACCACCAAATACGAATACTGAAGCAGTTTTTATGAAACCACGTGCACCATTCAAACTGGCCGCCTTCAACGTTTGCACACTAACGCAGATCGGACAACAGATAGGGTTGGCTATGTCTTTGGAAAGTCTTAATATCGACGTCTGTTGTCTATCCGAAACCCGTATTCAAAACTCTAGCTAAGTATTACAAATTCGCTCTCCATCTGTCGCTTCGATAAGCTCGTTTTATGTGCGTTTATCCGGGGACCCTGTGGTATCCACGTCTGGTTTTGCTGGCGTTGGTGTCTCACTGAGCGCTAGAGCTGAGGCAGCACTAATCGACTGGATCCCCATTAACAGTCGGTTATGCGCTGTTAGATTAGAAAGTTCCATCAAAGTGAGAAGAAATCGGCGTGAGAAACGATGTCTCTTCGTCATCTCCGCCTATGCTCCGACAGATTGCAGCCCGGATGCAATCAAGGATGAGATTTACCACCAGTTATCTGTTCTTCCCCAGAAAGTGCGTTCGACAGATATTGTAGTACTAGCCGGAGACTTGAATGCTCAGGTCGGGTATCTAGGCACAGAAGAGAGTCGTTTAGGTGGCCGATGGGGACTCGTTGGTCGCAGGACAGATAACGGGGACCGTCTACTGCAATTGTGCACAGACAACAACCTGTTTCTGGCTAGCACTAACTTCCGGCACAGTCAGCGCCAACGTGCCACCTGGCGTCCTCCCGCTGCATCTCAGTCCTGGACTCAGATTGATCACATCGCGATCAGCTACTGCTGGCGTGGTTGTGTATAAGACTGCCGCTCATTTTGGAGTACCTATCCGGACTCTGATCATGTCCTGGTCTCTGCCAATCTCACCTTACTTTTCAGTGGACAACGAAGTGACCGTCACCAACGGATTGATGTTAGCAAGTTGGTCGCAACCTCTGTTGCAATTAAGTATCGAACCGAGCTAGCTGCTAGGCTAGCTACCACTCCACCGAAAAGTATAGATGGGCATTGGTTGCAAATGCATGACGCCATGAAAATGGCCAGTAAAGCCCCTTGCGGTTTCGCGAAACGTCCCGCTTGTAAGTACTAGGTTTCTTCAGGCTTCTTATAACTCATCGAAGCCCATCGGTTCACTCCGGGTGACCGTGAGTTTGACCACAAACGAAGGATGTTACGTAAGGAAATCGGGCAAAGCTTGTGTAAGAACCGAGAAGCCTGGTGGTCGAAGCGTGCTAATGATCTGGAAGCAGCAGCTGCATATGGTAACTGCCGAGGGCTCTTCCAACTCATCCAAGCCACTGGTAGCAAGAAATGTGGTGTGAGCGAAACAATCTGTGAAGATGACCGGATGCCAATCGCTAACATCAAACGACGTCTTGGACGATAGTCAGAGTTTTTTTAGGGGTAGTTCTACTGGTCTGCTGCACCGGCAACATCGATCAGACTATAGCGTACTAATATTTATGTGTCCACATAAATAAATAATAAAACTTTTGGTTGGCAGATGACCATCTCATTTACGCCGCAAATGATGCAAGTTGACAAAAGTCTATCGAGCCTCCTAAATTTGTGCCGAAATTTCGTCAGACGCGATACCGTCAGTACTGATGAGTCTCCCAATATAAGTGGAGCGGTCGATGCGTCCAACTTCACTCCTTATCATCGATTCAAGCGATGACGCAAGCCAATCCTGAGGTAAAATTATAAATTCAGAGGGAGAGAACCGCATACCAAACATGCTTGCATTGTTGCTTAAGATGGTCAAATGACTGTATTTTGCTAGCGTCTTCACCAAACAGTATTATATCATCCTGAGTCAACAAATGAATCTCATGGTAGATCAACCCCTCAAAAGTCAGACGACGAGTGTCATCTCTAAAAGCATGTCTATGACAAAGTTAAATAAAAGTGAAGAGAACGGACAACTCTGACGAACAGCACTTGAAGTAAACAATTCCGATGATAGTTTGCCATAAGGTCTGTCACGACCAGAAGTGTTCTAGTAAAGTGCCTGAACAATATTAATGTTATTCTCTGTTACACCTTTCAAGTTAAATAAAAATTAGTTAGCAGTAACATCCACTAACATCAGTACTGAACTGTATAACGTCTGGTAATGAGAAGGGAATCGTTTTCCAAAGTCCATAATTGATCAAATGTTATTCATTAAAATTTTAATTAATACTTTTCAAATTCTTGATAAAGATGCTTAGATCACAACGTAACAGTTGATTTCATTTGGTGATAAAATGACGTAATATTAAGTTTTTATTCTGTTTGTTTCTTGTAATTATCTTTCTGTACTACTTAGTAAAACATGTTTCGAAATTATCTTATTGGTGTCTTGTTCTTTGTTTTTTCCTTTTCTTTACGTTCTTTTTTGCTACGTAAATTTCCTCGTATATAATTCCCTGAGTGAGGCTAAGGTAAACTAGAGGGCAGTTTTGTTTCTACATTGTCCGTGTCCTCAACTCAAATCGGAGGATATAGTAATTCCATGTGTAAGCGGTTGAATTTATTACTGGAAAAATAAAGTTCTATAAAATAATGAACCAAAAATGTAATTTTTTTACAGCGTTATGGTCGCATAGTGCACGAATTTCCAATGTGGAGAAAAAGAAGAATTAATATTAGTAAAATGGAGCTTCAAATTAAGTCCAGCAGCAAAATGAGTTACTTACAAACTTTTCATATCATCATCCTGCACATTATCCAACGTTCGTTCACTTACCGTAAAAATTTCTCATTCAGTATTAGTGTTTTCCTGAAAGTAGTTTTGACACTTTCGTATCAGATTGTTGACTAGAGATTAGTAACTCATTGCGTCATCTGTCTAATATGTTTGATGTTAGTAATTACCATTCAGAAATGCCAGTGTAAACGTGAATGTCGTTCAAAGAACTTTAAGGATGCCCTATTTAATTTTCATTCGTGTTTAGTGCGGACCTTTATTTCGTATGATGAAATACTTGGTTGTTAATATTATTTGCTTATGAAATCTTGGTGTACTGTTCCTGTTGAATCATTCCAGTCTCTTTCTGCAGGACTTGCTAAGCTTTTATAGTCGCAAGTGATGGAGCTTACTAGGATTGGTTATTGAGATTTTTTCTTTCAAATTTCTGTGCGGAAGTAATATTTTTCTACCATTAGGTTTACGTAATCAAATATGCATATTGCTAAATTGTAGACCCGGAAACAAACCCTTGCTTCGGCAGTAAACTCAGTCGTTTCCTCATGGAAGAGTTTCTCGGTTATGAAGACCTTTTGATTGGTAGTGTGAAGTACTTATCGGCTAGCGAAGGATTGAAAGGTTATGTGGTAAACGTAATGAGCGGACAACATTATAAGCTCGTTATTTCGCAGATGTCCAGGTCGTCCTACTTTGCTGCTGCTCTGATCATGTTACTATTTGTAAGTTTTCTGTTAACGGTTTTCACTCCTGTTTCACATATTCTGTACGTTTTAAGTAATTTTCGAGATGAAAGTAGTTGCGGAATATAGGAATTAGTAACCTCATGGGCTACAATTAATTGTTAATTGTTTACATTGTTTCAGTATTCTTATTTTCGTTACCACTTTAGTAATATAATGACTAGTTAAAAATGGGGAAATTATGGGCTTTATTTAGATTCTCGATCATCAATCTTTCTATTTCTAGCAGAGTTTAACTGTTTTTAGCTGTTCTGGTAATGTATTTCACCAAATTGCACGAATTACTTTTGAACGTTTTGTTCAAATTTAGTAAAACCTTTAATTATCAGTATGGGGGTTGTGGAGATTGTTAAGTTTTTGGTTGAGATCATGAATTAATTGATGTTAGATCACCGTTGGAAACCTGGAAGCACTGGAGTGACTCCACAACCCCCATACTGATAATTAACATGTGCTCACTAGTGACTAGCTTCGTGAGGGAATTCTCGGAGTTCTAGTGAGAAGTCGTGACCAGTGGAGCTAATCCGTGTCGGGTAGAGACAGGTACCTACCTCAGTACAATGGAAGGTGGTCGCGCAATTTCGTGGATTGATTGATGTTAGACACTAACACCATTGGATGCCGGCTCAGTGGTCTAATGGTTAAGTGCTCAGGCGCGAAGCCAGTAGGTCCTAGGTTCGAATCCCTCGGGGTGCGGGATCGTGGATGCGCACTGCTGAGGAGTCCCATACTAGGACGAAACGGCCGTCCAGTGTTTCCAGGTTTCCAACGGTGGTCTAACATCAATTAATTCATGATCTCAACCTAAAACCTTTAACTCTGTATTATTTTTTCATTACAACCAGTTAGCGAAATTTCAGCTCCCTGGGCGATAAAATGTTTCGAGATTCTTCGAAATCCTGCATTAACTTAGCTACAAAATCAAAGTAGTCGATTAATCAAACAATAAATAATAACAGTAAACAAAAAACGAAGGAACGTAATATACTGACAACATTGACTGACTTATTTTGCCTTTAATTCTACATTCCTAAATGTGGTATAACACCGAACACTCGTGGGAATACGAAATCGTGTTTAACTTTTGGAAATTGAGCAGCTCCAGTGACTTCTGAACTTCCATCAACAAGTCTCCGTCACTGATGATAGGCGTCACTCACAATATTAATTCATGACAGGTAGTTGTCTTTCATAAGGTTTTGTAGGGTTAACTGATGTCTCTACTGTTCTGTCATATAAAATGACGAACTAGAAAACATAGACTAGAAACACTGAATAATTCACTCCTCTTTTCATGCATATTTCCAGTTTCGGAAAGTATCAAGCTAATAATGCGAAAATAATTACTCATGTAGAAGTATGTGACTGAATTCAGGCACCTGTCGTTTGGGTTTTGCGGTCAAGTCTCAGTGTTTTTTAATTTTAGCACTAATATCGTCTCCGTTTCAAGTTCTCCAGAAAAGTTACTCACAGTATCGAAAATGTTATTCACCAATATATCTCCAACGGCATTTGGTTCCTGAAATAACATTCCACTTCTACTATGAACGCTTCTGTTGCATCGTCTCCCCTCTTTTTTAATCTATGCTAATTCTTTGAGCCTACGGGATGCCATCCACAGTTTTATCAGACCGTACTTTATTCCACATCTTGAAGCATCTAAATTTATAACCGCAGACAATAGATTTCATTAGTTAAGATTGTAGGATCCAGTGACGTACATTTACACCATATCTCCTGAACACACATAAAAGTTTTGTTCACCTAACCTAGAGATTCGTTTGACCCATAGTATTGTTGACGCAGGCTTATGATTAAGTCGGAAAACAGAATGAGCACTCGTGGTTTCCAACCAACAGTCACTGGTGTGCTATTTGACTAAATTAAACTGTAAGAACTGGAGAAAGTAGGTTACGAACCATTGACCTTTCGTACTTTTTCCTTAATCACCACAGACTTTCCTTCGAATAAACTTAAGTATGAGTCCTATCGAAATTTCACTACTCTTCCTCCAAACATTTAGTCACTCTAGCCTAGTTAATGTAGCATGTTATTTCAACTTTCAGACAGATAAAATAAATGAAATAGGAACGCTCTTGGTTGAGGCATTTTCACTTCACTTCAATAAATAGACAAAGGTAATCTTTTAATGCAGTTATGTTCAATGAATTGTCTATGGTCATCAAGTACTAATTTGAACATAAAAAAATATTTGATCTGACGAAATCTAGCCCTAACGAAGGACACAGTTGATGATAGATATCACAACCACTAAGTGTCAGAAACGTTTAACAAAAAACTGTTTCAATTTCCGGAGTACATTTCTGGATCATGATTGTTCTCATGCGATGACGTGTACTGCCACACATTACTAAATTTAAGGACATTGCAACAAAACGAGTGGAAGTGGGACCAATGTGTATCTATGATTTAACTAGCTAAACACCTAGTCTGACACAAACAGCGGACAACTGTTAATGTTCATTAAAGAGACTAGGGTGTCACATTGTACTTCCCATGCTTTGATTTCATTTGGATCGTATCTTTCACGCTTAGTTTGTAGTCTTGTTAGTCCCCACTTACTGTGTTGATAAGAGATATGGCACTACGATTGGTACATCATCTATAACTTCCTGGCTGAGTGAATACTGATATCCTAAACGATTGAAGTTACTTTCCTTAGTGCCGACAGAAGTAATACAATGTGAAACACAGCGTAAAAGAACTAAAATTAAGTTGCGACACTTTACATCATCACAGCGAGATATATATAATCAATAAGTAAGGTTTAAGAGGGAAAATAATGATAGTAGGGGAAAACTACAAAAACATTAAATAGTGGATAATACTGGGGAGTGGAACGAATATAATGATGTCGTTTTCGAGGCTTACGAGAAGTTAAAGGATGAATACAATTATACCTTTGTTGTCGATTGCGAGGTAAATCATAGTCTCCAAAAGTATAGGAATTGTCTTGCGAATGGGAATCAAGTTTGTACATTCCTACATGATCCACTGAGACAGTGAATTTCTAATTTCCAGCAACTATATTATCACCAAAACAAGCCAATCAATGCCGTGGAGTTACAATAATATGAGGGATTATATAACTCAGCTCTCCAGCAATGAATATAGGAGAATGAGTCGTATAGACACATATACGGTTTGCTTGTCAGAAGGCCACCCACTTCCATATGGATATGTGAGCTCCAGTTCACAATGCAATTGGATCCAAATGCATTATACTTGTATCTTGAGTGTGAGTGGATAAATAATGAATGCGTGAGCTAAGACCTAAAACCTTAGAAGCATCTATTTGGGAATAAATATGAATGCAGAACTAAGGTACAAAAGTGTAAAGTACCACAGTCAACGACCAGAAGCGGAGCACTTCAAAGAAGCGCGATCCATTCACAAGGATCCCCTAATCCAAAAAAATTAAATCTTTGTTACGAACTTATACACCAGTTGATTTCTTTGAACCCATTTTTTGTTATTTCGGTACGTAAGCAGTTCTTAGCAAGTGTCCAATAAGCTGTAGTCTTATCACACGATAGCACTGGTTCATTCAGTTCAGTTTCAGCTTTAGTTTTGAAAGGATAAGAGGCTAGGTGGCTTGTCTTAGTCATGGCAATGGTGGTCTCTTATTTGGATCGACTTTCTTTCGAAAGCGTCGACAGATGAAGCTCCAATCACGTGTTAAATTAATGAATTCCATTCTTTGATAATTCTATGGGAGAGTCAATAGTCAGCTGACAAGTAATTTGTACTGGACTCGTGAACATTTCTAGAGTATCCTCATAAAGTCTCTGATTTGGAAGATAAGAAATATGAGGGCATATCAGATGCAAATTTATCACTAAGCAGTTAAAAAACTGCGATCACGTCACCTCTGGTTCTTCTATATGACAATGAAAATAAGTTTGGTTCAGCCAGTCAAGCACCATGTGGGAACCTTGCTAACCCCAGAATCAGCTTATTTGCGATCCTTCGGATTTTTTTCAATGGTTCGCCATCTCTTTTTAGGCAGTGAATAGCTGCTTGTACGCAGTACTCCAGGTTAGTACGAACGAATACTGTATATAAAGTCCAAAGAGTTTTAGCATCGACATGGCGAAACGCTCTACGTATTGACCATAGGGTTCTAAAATATTTGACAGCTAGCGCCCGGCAGTGTGCCGTAGTTTCCAAGTCCTGGCTAACAATGACTCCTAAGTCATTGTGTGTCTGGACAACAGATAGTTCAGTGTTATTCACTGTGTATGTATCTGTACCATGTTGACCGATATACATCAAAATTCACTTGGAAGCACTTATCAGGAAATGCCAAATTCTATACCATTCAGATCATTTCTCCAGGTCGTTTTGAAACTCCAAACTATTACCTTTACCTTTTATCGCTCTTCATGTCGTCAGTATATAACGAAACGAATGATGATAGGAGACTGGGAAGGTCATTTACACACAGGATAAACAGCACTGTACCCTGGGATACCCTGTTAAGTGCAGTTCCCCAGCTAGAGAACTTTGAGTTCATTCGTACTCGATGCTGGCGTCCCACTAGGCAGTTCTTTATCTACATAAATTAGTTGCCTCTAATTCCGATATCAGCTAACTTGTATGACAGCCAGTCAACAGATGAACTTCCAGTCACGTAGTTTGTTTTGGGGGATATTGAGTATCCCCAACAGCATAATTTTATTTCCAAACCATTCAGCATCTCGCTTTTGTTAAGTGTTCTGTCCTGTCTAGGCGGTTTTAGGTACCTGATTATTTGATTTCATGAACTGTTTCATAAAATGCGAGGTTTTATTCAGGTTTCTTTGTGCCACATGTGACATTTACACTTTCCTATTTCGTCTCAGTATAAAACTAACTGGTAGCTGGTGCATCAATTGCATTATGAAGACAAATATTTCATCTGCGAATTTCTTCATTATAATTTGTAACTTTTCTTTTTTAAGTTGTATATTTATCCATCCCTTTGCATTATTTTTTGCAGACATTTTGTATATCCGTTCTGTTAAGATATTCAAGTCAACAGCTTGTGGTTGTAATAGGTAAGTAATTTACTGTTAAATCACTCGGGTTACTAATTTGCATTAGTATATCACTCTTGTATGGTTTAGTTGGAGTCAGAAGTTTATTCACAACTTACCTTGCAAACACTAGTTCTCTAATTAATTTTAATATATGTGAACTACAGCTGCAAAAAAACTACATGACTATCATACTGAAGTAAATGAAAAACAACGACATATTTGAATGTGTATATCTGATTGGGCACTTATTTTTTAGGTATATTATTGCAAAAAGTAATATACCTTTAACTCAAAAGAAGCGTGTTCAGTGTCTAAAAACGGTTGTCAATAGGAACTTCAGGTGTTTTGTGTTAAAGTATCTTTCCATTTTTAAGAGGCTTGTTGTCTGTATCAATAAAAATTAATTTCTGTTAATTAGCTATACATTTTTTACTCGTAAGTTGAGTCGTTACTCAGTGTACCATATGAATATAAAGGTGTTTCCATAAATTTCGTGGATACGTACACAAATGACAACTTGGTTTGTTTTCCACTAATTTTATCTTCCGGTATTTGTGTTCTAGCTGATATTCTCCAAATGTTTGAAACGAATACCTCGTTTGGGATTCCTGTTGCCCCATTTATGACAGTGATTCTTGCTCTTGTTGGTAAGTTATGCATTATAGATGTGGTTCTTTGAATTCTTGTTTTATAATATTTCTATATAACTGTTTTGACTCTGTTGAATAATAGTGCTTTTAAATGTTTTTGATAATAACATGTGTGGTCAGAAAAAAACAGTGTGAATCATCAGTATAATAATATTGACCCCTTTATGGAATAATACACTTTTTTACCAATGAACTCGTAGCGTGGCGTCGAGTTGGGATTAACTTTGAACACCGCTACCAAGAAACACGTGCCAAGTTAACCAAAAGGCGAAGGTAGAACGTAACCAAATAAATCCATAAAATCCCCGAGAAGCCAAATATCAGAAGACAATTAATGGGCCAAATCGCGATATATTTGCTGGCGATCTCGTGGCATCGAAAGGATACCGAGATCGTGCCAGGATACAAGCTTGGTTACAGAACGTAACCGAATTCGCGCGAAGTTACAATCAAAAGTGTAAGTATATGAAGGGAAGCACAAAATAGCTGTCATTAGCACAGCCCAACAAAAGCGCGTTAAAACAAACACTGGTACAGTTGGTTATAATAATAATTGTTTTTATTAAACCAGTCGTGTTCTCGTGATAAATGTGAGTCACTACAAACGTTTCAGGTTATCGTGAGTTATGTTTGTAGTATACTTCAAAAATGAATGATATCCATGATTCATTAAGTTTGCCACTCGTTAATGGTTAGAACGTGGAATATGGTAACTTTTTCTATGTGCTGTATTTTTCTTATGAGATAATTAGGCTATATCTGCTTTATTAGTACAACCATGCAGTATTACGGTTAAAAAAGATGTTTCGGTCTACTAATTAGCTATCCTTTGACTCTACATATTTGGGCTTGTAAATTTATTTATGATTAACATCTCACCTTGTCGCAATAAAGTCTCTAAATGTTTATCGTGTTTTATTGACTCACATTGATTTACATACTTTTGTTTCCAGTGCTCTAGTCTTCAGTCACTCATAATATTTACATATTTAGTTTCTTTCATTTCTTGGGTGCCTGGGATTCTAGAGTTAGATTAGCTGATGACTTTAATCATGGTCATAATTCATTCTCGTGGTGTAACGGTTACTTATTATTTACTTTAAGTACTTTCTGATCGATTTTACAATGATATTAATAAATATTTATTGTTGACCTTTAATGTGATGTAGCAAGTCCGTTTTCCATCCTAACGCAAAGCCTACCAATTGTTTATAATTTCCAGCCATGGAAACTATCATGTCTGAATTTTTTGGAGATTCAATCACTGCGTTTTATGTTATTCTCATTATAAGCGTTTGTGATCACTATGAAGCTGTATTTTGTCGTACTGAATTAAGCAAAAGATATTGGCCAAGGTTAGTGAATTTTTACATTATACCGCGCTTATAGATAATCTTCAGCTGAATGTTTGTTCTATAGACAGCTTCGTTTGGTTTCTGACTTTAATTTTATTAATATTTGAATAATGTTACGTCACTCTCATTTTCAGTCTACTTAACCGTTGTTGTATACCTAACGCTTTCTATAATGAAAAGAAAAGAAGATTAGTCTTTCGTTTATTTTTGAGAACTATTTAAACAATTAAGTTGACGACTTTTTTCTTTTCGGCCCACTCTATAATTTTATGCGTGTTCAGCGTATCACGAATGATTCGTCTTAGTATTGAAAAATAACATAATCTATCACTTATGACGACTGATAGATTCGGTTCTTTTTTAAGCTTAGAAACCTAAAGAAGAGAAAATCTTTTAACAGCAATGTTCACCATACCTAAGTGAAATTTGATTAAGGTTAAATCGTTGTTTTAATTATTCACTGACCATTTACTTGAAAAAACAAACAACCCTTTTGGCGAAGTAAGCGAAGTGTGATGATTACAGACAAAAGTCGCCAATACATTGCATCTTAAAAAGTGGCAAATATGTTTTTGATTTTCTGGATCTTTATATTCTTCCTGTCACTTGTAGTATTTTTAAGATGTCAAGTAATGTATGAGAATTGGAAAGAAATATTCAAGTTATTCATTTTTAGGTTTTTAAATTACTGAATTATGTATTATTTCATTCAGGAAGCCCCCTACAAAAATGCGTTTCGTTTCTGGTTAACTAGATCTAAAGTCCCACCAAATGAACCTGTCGTAGTCTAAAAGTTATGATATCTTATTTATCTACGAGATATATAGCTGCGCTTGTGTTTTAGAATCTGGTGGTGAATTTATTTTTGAATGACCTTCATTGTAACGTGATCTGAGTATGAAAATATATTGTTAATAAGATCGCACCATCTTTTTTATGAACATACTGTTGTTTATTGTTTCCGATAAATCTCCCTCCAATTCACCATCTAGTTACCGTTTTTCGTTAAACAATATTTAAGGGAAATTCTGTAAATCTACTATTGGTTCAGGTTAGAACTATGGAGTTTTTATAATAATCAGATTCATGAGTATTTAACTAGTGAAACAGTCCTAAATTGTATCACGTTGTACATATTCACACTAGCGATTATTAATAACCTATATACTTAATTCCACTTCTCATAAAAGCCTAAATAAAATTAAATAATCTTCAAGTTATATATTCAGTGTAGTACTAAGTTTTTTCACTTTGTTTTTAAGAGTTAATTTCCGGATGTTGCTCTGTCTTACATTTATTTGTAATTTTTAAATTTTATCAGGTACTTCTACTTGTATCATTTTGGATTTTATGCCTACCATTATCGTTTCAATGGGCAATTCAGTGGTGTTGCTCTTTGGGTTTCCTGGCTGTTTATATTGCATTCAATGATTTATTTCTTCCATCATTACGAATTACCTAACCTGCTTAGTGATTGGGAATTCCGTGAATTCGTTTCTAATAATCAACTTGTAGGTCAAATTCAGCTACAAGTTTCCACACCATCATTATCTGTCCGGAATAGTCAGGATGCTTCCAGCTTAAACCATTCTATCAACTCTCATGAACGAACAGAGTCGTTAGGTGACTTAACAACTACTGTTGGGGATTCAGACAATCTCGAGTTAAATGAATTGTCTAACAATATTTTCACTGTTACAAGTTCAGTACCTACTTTTAGTGGGATTTCCGATGAAATCGAAGCTAATCGAAGTGATTTACTTTCTAATAATACTGCATTAGCTGATTCTCCCACAACTTCTGCTAATTTAAATCACCTAGAATAATAATTTATGATCTATTAACATTTGTACTTTTGTTATTTTGTGTTTATTTAATGTAATATCCCATCTCTATGATTTTTCACATTTACGCTAGAAAATTGAGGCCTCTCACTACTTGGACTTTCAAACGGGTTGAAAAATAAAGTCATCTATTCTGGGCTTAGGTTCCTTTCATTTATTGATTATTAGAATGTTCCGGTTTTTATCGTCTATTTAGGCTGTGAAGATGCTAGGTGATCAGACTGAATAAATTTGAATTTTTTAAATTAATTCCACAGAATATATATACTTGGTATTGTTTGTTTGTATATTCCCATAGTGTAGGACTGCAATTGATCAGTCTCCTGTTGGCATGTGTGCATCCTGTGTGGACTGCCTCGATAATGTCTTAAGTCGAGCTTTATAAGTAAAAATGGGTGGCGGAATCCAGGACGCGTTTCGTTCCACTTGGGATTCGTCAGCCGGATGTACCCGATCGGTGGAGCTAATCCGTGTCAGTTAGTTACCTCAAACAATGGAAGATAGTCGCGCAGTTTCGTGGATTGGTTGGAGTTAGACATTAACGCCGTCAGATTTCGGTTCGGTGGTCTAGAAGTTAAGCGTTCGCGCGCGAGACCGAAGGTCCTGGGTTCGGATCCCACGAGCGGGATCGTGGATGCGCACTGTTGAAGAGTCCTACACCAGGACGAAACGACCACCCAGTGCTTCCATGTTTTCAGTGGTGGTCTAACATCAATCGAATCATGATCTCAACCAAAAAACTTAACCCCATATATATATAATTAACGGTCTATGAAGAGTTCCCGGAAGTTACTCATAAACTAATCTTCTGACATAACACCCCTTACTGAGGTATTAGGGATAATAAATATCATAAGGATTTATTCTTATTCTACTAGGTTTTCGTGTGATGCTTTGCAATCGCCTTGAAAGTGATATACACTTTCTCATAACATTTGGGTCCTTTTTAGTTTCATTAACTAAATAAATATGTTGAATGGTATATTCGGCTTTAAATTACTTCCAGTCTCTCACTCTTATCTGGTCGGCCATAGTTACTTTGCATGTCACACTCACATCTTTTCTCCAAATTTCACTGCAGAAAGAACTTTTTTCTACGGATAATAGTTCCAATCTTCCAGGATGGCTATACTTCATGACTTAGTTGTCATCAATATTTCTTTAGTAAAAAAAATTCACAATTTCCAATTACTACTAGTGTTTTCAGGTGAATGTTAAGTATGCGAAAATGTATTTGGGTATTTCAGGTTTTCATAAGTCAATAAGATTTCATGGTTCGTCATAGTCTTTGAAGCAAAATGCATCATCATATGATTACTACCAGAGCACTAACTGACACGTGCAAGTAGTACATACTTTGAGAGGTCACTATCTAATTTTACATCTACAGATTATTATTTTCTTTACTTATTAATTTGAACACATAAATATTGGTACAAGACGGTAGCAGATATATATGCGCCATACAAAACAACGACCACAGATTAGTGTATGGTAGTGTAATAATAATAATGAGGGAAACGGAAAGGCACAACCAGTATATACGCAGCTATCGGATACAAAAACTTCTCGACTACTATCTGCTCACCATCCAGAGTGAGTACAGGATTAGAATCTTGCCAGTCTTGTAGAAGTACTTTGCAGTTCGAAGGTGCAAAGCACATACCATACCTACGGACACTGATTGCCAACTGATTAAGTGCGGATTGCATGCCTTGGGCATTATCGCACAGTAAGACAATATCGTCCGCATACTCAAGGTCGAGAAGTCTTTCTCCAGGCAACAGACCCACACTGCCATTAATTACAACCATCAGAGCCGTTTCCAGAATGTCATCGATGGCAAAGTTGAAGAGGAATGGTGAGATTGGGCAACCCTGTCTAACCTCACTGCTCGAATCGAATAGTAGAGAGAGGTGGTTGTTTGCCCTCATTCTGCCTGAGGTGTTTGTATGTAGGGCTTTTAGGATGTTATTCAACTTCTCAGGCGCACTCTTCTTCAATAGACAATCCTAGAGAGCAGTCCTGTCCAACGAATCGAAGGCAGCCCTAATGTCAAGAAACACTACTATTGTTGGCCGGTGATAAGTACAACGGTGTTCTACAGACGTACAAGTTATTGATAATCTTTAGTATTAGTGTTTTTATGTTACGAAAATCATGTGTTACAGTCAAAAATATTGTTCAAAATCTGACAGACGCTCTTCTATAAGTAAAATGCTCACTGCAATTCTCCATTTTCTGAAGCATACTTCGAGGATGGTTGGGAAAAGTCAAGTAGTACCCAGCTTAATAGCGAAATGTGTATACTGACGCTGTAAATTACGATTTTTGTGCGAACTCTATGGTAGTTTGTGTATCTTCGTTGTTTTCAGAAATTAATCTCTTATAATTTTAGAGGATATCTTAAATGTTCTACTGATTTTGAGGAGTTTGAACACGATGCAGCTCATTATGTCGTTAGACTGCAGTCTATTCTCATTATTTTTTTTAACTTATAAGACTAATTTAAGAAATCGAACCGTCTGATCGAACTATATTTTAGGTCTAAGTTATGGTAGTCTTCGGCGGTTATTCATACCTGTTATTTATTATTTGTTTTATGGCCCTCGCTTTCGTGCATTTTTAAAGTTTGATATCGCCGAGGACGATTATTTTATCTATCTGTTTCTTTTCATGTAAAGCCGATCGTCCAACATATTTGTTCTAGTTACTCGATTATAACAGTCCCAGTAATCGTAGTTTGTTCTTTTATATATGAACGCACGTGACTATAAGTTATTAATTACGTTCCATGCGTCGATATTACCCTTGTTTTTGATGATTACGATGTTTGTATGAAACCTACGTACTCAAAGGAATTCCGAAATTCAACTAGACTACCTTTAGGATGTCCAATATGAAACTCCGGTCCTGTTTCGTGCCAGTCGCTATTAATTAACAAGGCATACCTGCAATCTCAGAAACATTGGTGACCCAAATTCACTTAGCTGTACAGTTTTAGACAATTCCACGGAGTTATCGTGGCTTCGTAACCTTGATGGGACAGGTGATTTACAACTGTTTGAAAACAGTACATACTAATATGGTCTCTGTTTAGTCTTTTAGGGCTGATTAGATTCGACCTATGAAATTTCGATGTGACCACTGACCTAGATAACTTGATATCGTGTACTCTATGTCGAGTTGCTAATCAGTTGGAACTAGTATATAGGGAATGCTGCATAGTTCAGTCAATTCATTCCAGATTGTGAGGTTGAGTGGCGTGGGTCCGAGCACCTGAGATCGTCATGCGACCCATAATTTCAGATTTTCCAATACAACACTCGATGTCGAGTTGGCTCGTCTACTTCCCACATTGGGGAAAGTCATTCGACCACCCATTCGTCTCCCTAAAACCTGACATCTGTCGCAGCCAGCGGTAAAATTGTGTCCCACAATGTACGTGACGTTGCTGCCAGCTGGAGCGTCACAAACAACAACAATTAAGTTAACTGTTAAATGTAGCTGATACTTATCTACATTAATACCTACTGTCAGCAACTCCTGTAACTCTGTTATAAGTGCTGCTGACATGTCGTTGAAATCAGATGGTTTTAATTCACCACCGTAGATCCCAACCATGAATACACTACTAACTAATGGAGCTACAATGCGACCTAAGATGGGCCAGAGCTGTTGGTTAGAGCTTTTAAACAAGCTTAAACCGTCGTAATTCAACTGCAAGTCTAATTCCGTGAAACCGATTTCACGTAGCCAATTCTCTGAAATTCTCAGTAAACTTGATTTCAATCCCAGATAGTAATACGTTCCAGATTCGAGGATATTAGGCTCCACGTCGTTGCATCGACGTAGGACACTCCGGGCGGAGGTTGAAAGTTCTGGATACCGCGCACGAAAAAGGTCCAATATTTGGTCAGCCTTCTTTATGCTTATGTCACCAACTTTCATCATCCCAATGACTATTCTAACTGTTCTTTTATTGAAAGATGAATGGCTGGAGACATTTCTGACATTACACAACCTATAAATTTTTATTAATTAAAGAGATACTACCGCTGGTTGTGTTGTCTGAACACTGGACGTAACTACATAAAGCAGTAGCTATATCTGAGACAATATTAGCACACTGCTCTGTAGCTGCGGTAGTCTGTGATTCTGTGACGACAACTGAATTGTCTGTCTCTTCCTCACTGCTCGGTAATTGATACTTTTTTATAAACTCTGATTTTAACTTCCTCAACGTTCCGTAATAGGTGGCTCAGGAACAGCCGAACAACCTCAGGTATTTTGCGGCTTGAGCCCGCCTTTTCGAAATCTTATCAACCTGTCTATTATAATTCTGAAAGAAATAATTGACTTAAGTAAGACTGAACATAAACAACACCCAAAGTTTTCGACAGTGTAAAAAAATCACCTGCATAGCGTTCGAATTTTGAAAAGAAGGTTTACAACCGACAACTTTTTGTCTCGTGTCTGTTTGACGTATTAAAACAAGACCTGAAATTCTATAGACTATTCCTGACCAAAAGTCTGTATTGTATTAAAATGTAAATTTATTTATTCACATTCACTACTTTAAGTCTTATTTATTATATGGAGATGAAATGTTATTGTGAAAAAATGCGCTACGAACGTTTTGAGGATTTTCTCTAGAGTTTTTCCAAACTTTGGGGATGGCTATTTCACTTTGGAGATTTCCCCAAAATTTCCTCAAAGTTGGCAGTCCGGGTATCGAACCGGCAATGTCTCAATTTGAAGTTATAGCTAAACAAATGAAAAGTCTGAGCAAAATAAATATACCCAAAACACAGAGAAATTAATAATATCCGATATAATAGATGTTATTCATTTATATAATATCAGGTACTCGTGTAAAACTTCCAACCAAATGAACCTCAATTCATTTCACAAACGAATAAATTAACAGCATTATTACAAGGGGGAAATAAAGGTCTTAATCAATCAAAAAGAAAAACTTC